GGGGGAGGCAGAGAAAGAGGGGTAAGAGAATCCCAAGAAGGCTCCATGCTCAGTGCAGAGCCCAATGTGGGGCTCGATCTGAAAACCATGAGATCATGACTTGAGCTGAAATCAAGAGTGGGATGCTTAACCAACTGAGCCACCCCAGCCCCCAAGACCAAAACCTTTGTGGGAACCAAATAAAACTTCATCTGCGGTAAGACATATTTAGTTGAAATGTCAGTTTATTCAGAGTGAATGCAAATTTTCTACAATGCACAGTCCTACTTACTTGAAGGCTAATATAACTATACTTTCTAAAACAAACACTTTAGGAATGCTCAGATATCCCACAGTGTAGGGAGTAAGCAGCGACAGAACAAGGTCACACATGAGTTTGAAAATTTTTAATGAGGGGCGCCTGGGTGGCTTGGTCGGTTAAGCATCCGACTTCGGCTCAGGTCATGATCTCACGGTCCGTGAGTTCAAGCCCCGCGTCGGGCTCTGTGCTGACAGCTCAGAGCCTGGAGCCTGTTTCAGATTCTATGTCTCCCTCTCTCTCTGCTCCTCCCCTGTTCATGCTCTGTCTCTCTCTGTCTCAAAAATAAATAGACGTTAAAAAAAAAAATTAAAAAAAAAAAATTTTTAATGGTACATTTCTGGAAAGCCAAAATGTGTGCTATTAAAATCTTGCCATATCAAGCTAGAAATCATATTACTAATATATAAAAACAAGGCAGTCTATGTGATCAGCAAGAGTATGTTCAATGTCTATCATTTTCATAAAATAAGCTTTAGAAAATAAAGAGTAAAAAAAAGTCTCTCTAGCTGATGGATATATGTGAAAGTTAGAAATAGACAATGCATATCTAATGGCATGGATTAGAAAGGCTGAAAAATACTAAATTGGGTTTTTGGGTTTTTTTACACAAAAGTCCAGCATTACCTTAAACTTGAGTTCTTTTGGTATATGAGAAAAAGGAAAAACATATATAATAGTTTATAAACCAAAAATAAATGGATATACTATTTAACCGGGAAAAAACAGAAAAAGAGAATAAACCAACCCTGAAGATGACACTTGGTACATTATTAAATTAGCAAGTTACAGTATATATAAATTAGAATTCCAAAGATTATTTGCTTACCTCTGGTAGGAAATTGTGTTTTTTAATCACCTGATACAACATTTCATGAGTTTCAATGGCAGGTCTAATATCCCCCTTTAAGACCTAGAAGTCAACAATAACAACAAAATTACCTAATAAAATAGGAATTGATTTTATCTAGAGTCATTATATACCTAGAAAAATGCACATTAATACATTTTAAAATGTGACTCCATTTTGGTAATTCCATTTTAGAGGTCACAAATGTACTTTGTCATTCTACATTAATATTAAGAAAGTACAGTGTTTTGTTTTGGGGTTTTTTTACCTGCAAACCTGGAAAAAAGGCGAGCAAAGCATCCATCCAAGTCCGAGCATTGAGCATTGGCTTGTGGATATGCACATCAAGTAGAAGAGGTGGCTGGCTAATGTACCTCATTATGGCATCGTAATGCTAGAAGATCACAATATGTGTTCATGAAAGCAGATGAAAAAAGATGTACTACTCTAAAAACAGCATTTCGTTAAATCACGCTGTGAAGAAAGTAAAGCTGAATTTATATATAAATAAATTTACTTAAGTAATTATGTAAATATTTAAGTTATTCTGTATGGGAATCTTTCTAAAATATATATACTCCCCTGTGTTAATTCTGATACAGAATATTAAAGACTATAGTTAATATAAGATCTTCAGAGGGGAACAGATCTGAACATCCCATCCCTGATGGGATGTCTTTTATGTTCTTAAAAACTCTTTTTCCCCTTCTTTTATCTTCCTCCCTTAGATATTTCTCAGCTTTGACAACAGGTTGAGCTGTTAGTCAATGAATGGTAATGAGCCAACAAAAATAATCTGTTCTTGTTCACCTCAAGAAAATCTTGTAGTAATCTAATAAACAATATATGATAGTGTTTTTTAAAGTATTCAATCAATAACTTATTATTGGGTCTCTTATTGGTTTTTCCTAACTTGTATATTATTTAATGACCATTACTGAGTATCTGCTAGATGCTGAGACACAGCTGTAACACTTCATATGCCCTAGCTCATTTAATCCTTCCAATATCTCCATGAATGGTACTACTATTTCCATTTTATGGATAAGGAACAGAGACAAACAGTGTAAAGTTACTTGCCCAAAGTCACAAAACCAGTGGTACAACCAGGATTTAAACTCAGGTAGAGCAACTCCCATACTTCAGTCACTACACTGTATTGTCTCACAGTAATGTGGGTGAATTGATGGGTGCACAAACAAATTATAAATAATTTCAAAAAAACCCATAGTGATACAGCTGATGAGTTTGCTGTACTGATTTCATTTTGCTTCAATTACAAAGGCAATCCAATCAGGTTTAGTAATCCTTACCCTTCTCTCTTAAAACTATGCCTGTAATTCTGACCCAGACTTAAGACTTACAGACCTGCTTTTGAAATGAACACTCACTAGTTTCTCCTAGGTATCCAAAGCCCTGTATGCTTGATGTGATCAAGGAGTAGGTCAAACTTCCAAGTTTTCACAAAGAATTGGAATCCACAGGAAAAAAATAACTAGTAATTTATTCCAACAAATTCTCTTCATGCGTAGAAGATTAGGTAAAACTCAAATCTACCCATTTTATTACTTACTGGCAGATCTTAAAAACTTCTGATAAGAGATGAAAATGAAAACTTTTGTAATGAAAATGAAATTGAAATTAGTTTACAATGAAAAACTTTGTAAACTAATTTTTGGAATTTATATAGTTTTGTCCTATCCCTGCCCAACATCATCAGGGAATACTGACAAACACACACACACACACACACACACACACACACACACGTTTAAAAACAAATTATTTCTCAGATTGCCACTCAGATAATTGAGCTTCTATCAAAATCTGGCAAATAAAATTGGCTCTAAAATTAATATAAAATTGGATCAACTTACTGTATTAAATCTTTCCAGAAAACTGTCATCTCCAAGTAAGACATAGGCTTTCAATAGATATTCATAATATGAATCAATCCCTGCTCCAACTCCACTATCTATGGAAAAAATACACATAAACACAATTCTTTATTTAAAAAGTCTTAAAAACTCTTTACAGAGTACAAGTGAGGATATTAGTACACTAAGAATGAAACACTGGTCTAAACATGAAATTGTGTTTACAGTAAAAATTCAACATTTACAGAAATATTAACCCTACTATTTGAATAACCGACAATTCCTTGCTGATGTTTGTATGTTTACAAAAAAAAAAAAAAAAAAAAGACTCTTACTTTGCAAAACTGGTTACATAAACCTTATTTAAAAGCAGGAGAGGTGCCTGGGTGGCTCAGTGGGTTAAGTGTCCGACTTCGGCTCAGGTCATGATCTCACACTTCATGAGTTCAAGCCCCATGTCGAGCTCTGTGTGACAGCTCAGAGCCTGGAGCCTGCTTCAGATTTTCTGTCTCTCTCTCTGCCCCATCCCTGCTCACACTCTGTCTCTCTCTGTCTCTCAAAAATGAATAGAAACGTTAAAAAAACTAAAAAAAACTAAAAAAAAAAAAAAAAAAAAGGAGATACTAGTTTTAAGAAGTTTTTCAAAGCTCATTTTCTTAGTGAGGAACTCCAAAGAGGAAATACTAGAGAGGACCACTGTGCAATTTTTTTTTTAAAAAATTATACCCTTAATCAGTAAGACATCAATCTGTAGAGTTAGAGTAGATATGAAATCAAGACTGCAGCTGTTTAGAGGTATCAATTCTTTTTTTCCCCCCCTTTTTAAGATTTTAAAGTAATCTCTACACCCAACATGGGGCTGGAACCTACAACCCCGAGATCAAGAGTTGCATGCTCTACTAAGCCAGACAGGCACCCCACTAGAGGTGACAATTCTAATTGCTGCACCTAGTGTGACTAGTGGCCTCTTCCTCCAAGATCATCATTAAAATGGACCAAATAAAGAAAATAAAAACCTGTAAGAAACCTCGCGGCAGGAGCAGGGAAGGTGGGGGAGAGGGTGGCCTTGGCCAGGAACAGAAGGCAGCCAGACATGGCTAAGAAAGTCAATCAGGTGGGAAACTGCTAGAGCTTTGCAGATGCTTCTGTCCCACCACTGTCATAAGACACAATGTCTCCTCCTATCCTTGCTACAACTCAGTCTATGTTCCAGGTATCCTCAGGGTAAAATCTGGGCATCATAGAAGCCCTGCATAAGGAACTGAACAAAAGAGTGGCAGACTAATTTTAGACATTCTTTCCCCTACTTTTCCCCACAACTGAGGCTAGTGAATTACAATCTAAATTATAATTACAATCTTACAAATCCCTATACCCAGGGAACACTCAACGTCAACTGAATCAGAATCTCTAGGAATCTAAGCATCAGTGTTTTTAAAAAAAATTTCTTAGAATTCATCCCTAAGATCACTGAGGATGACAGGGATTGGAATCTGATCTTTCCACAGAGTAGGTGACAAAGAACATGAACTTGTAGGCCAAAAACATTTAAGAAGCATGACTTTCTAAAAATAAAAAGAATGTACTAGAATAAGAACTTATCAGAACAAGAAATAGAACAGGAACACCCATTTTAAATTATTTAATTTTAAAATTAGCCAAATAGGGGCACCTGGGTGGCACATTCAGTTATGCGTCCAACTCTTGATCTGCTTGGGTCGTGATCTCACAGTTTGTGAGTTCAAGGCCCGCATGGGGCTCTGCACTGATGGTGTGGAGCTTGTTTGGGATTCTATCTCTCCTTCTCTCTGCTTCTTCCCTGCTTGTGCTCTCTTTCTCTCAAAATAAATAAATAAACTTTAAAATTTTTTTAAAAATTTAGCCTAACAAACATACTAAAGAGATAGGAAAGATATTAGCAGTAAAAAAAAAAAAATTTTTAAGTAAGTTCTCCACCCAACTTGGAGCTTGAACTCACAACCCTGAGATCAAGAGTCACATGCTGTATTGACTGAAATCAGCCAGGTGCCCCAACAAGAAAAAAATCTTTAATCGGGCAGAAACATATGGAATAAAAATACACAGTTAAAGTAACATAATAGATGGGATATACAGCAGAAAAGATGCAGCTGAGGAACAGATGAGCCAACTGAAGACTAGAAGCAATCTTCCAGAAGAAAGAAAAGGCAGGGGGGGAAAATATATATATATATACAAATATATATACATATATATATATACACAAAGGCTAAGACATACAGAGGATAGAAATAGAAGTGATTAAGATAATAGGAATTGCAAAAAGACAAATAAAAATGAAAAGAACATCCAAAACTAAGATGAAAAAAATAAAAAATAAGACCAGTTTTCAGCAATAAAAACATAAAAGATTTTAGGGGTGCCTGGGTGGCTCAGTTGGCTAAGCGTATGACTCTTGATTTTGGCTTAGGTCATGATTTCACGGTTGTGGGATTGAGCCCCATGTCAAACTCTGTGCTGATGGGTAGCCTGCTTGGGATTCTCTCTCTGCCCCTCTCCCAAATAAATAAACTTAAAAAAAAAAAAACACAAAGATTTTAAGTAGAAAGGACCCATAGAATACCAAAAGGAGAGCTAAAGAATATTTTACATCTAAAACTATAGTGAAATTTTCAGAAAATTTTCTTTACATTCAATATTTTATTGTTTTTTAATTTTTAATGTTTATTTATTTTTGAGAGAGAGAGAGAGAGAGAGAGAGAGAGAGAGAACACAAGTGGGGGAGGGGCAGAGAGAGGGAGACACAGAATCTAAAGCAGGTTCCAGGCTCTGAGCTGTCAGCACAGAGCCCGACACAGGGATCCAACCCACGAACTGTGAGATCATGACCTGAGCCAAAGTCGGACGCTTAACAGACTGAGCCACCCAGGCACCCCTCTTTGCATTCAATATTCTTAATCTTCGAGAAAGAAAGAGTAGATCACACACACAAGGGCATAAAAATCAGAATAATATCAGATTTTTTAGCAGGATGTAAGAAGACCAGAGTTGTATTTTTAAAGACTTGAAGGAAAAGAACTTAAACAGAAAATTATATACAGCCAAACCTTCACTCAAATACGAAAGCATAATAAAATGACTGTCAGGCATTAAAGGCCTCAGTAGCTATTAAAGCTACTGAAAGCAGGAATAATTACTTAAATAAGAAGAGAGGCAAATCTAACTTTGTATATTGTTGCGAGCAATATACAAAGTACAAGTGAGCAAATACCTTGACGGTCTGTTACCTTTAAAGGAAAAGGAGGGTAGCACTAAGACCAAAAGAAAAAAGAACATTCAGAGTGAGTAAGAACCAACTACGTAATATCAATATAATGGGAAATGGGGGGTGGGGCGAGTGGAGACAGAGACAGGAGAACATGCTAAAGTCCATGTCTTACTAGAAGGTAAATATAAGTTTCATTTAATAACAAAAAGATAAAGAGAAAACACACTGATTAAAATGGAACACATTGAAATTACAATTAAGATAGTATAAGCCCAAATATATTAAAAATAGAAGTAAATGTGAATGGACTGAAATCACCAATTAAAAGATAAGACAAATTGGCTTTTACAAACCTATACATTTTATAAGAGTTATAGCATGAGCACCTGCAAAGACTCAAAGTAAAAGGATAGAAAAAACACTCATCAGGCAATTAAACAATATAAAGCTGATGGAGCTGTACTGCTATCAGATTAAACAGACTAAAAGACAAAAAGCATTATTAGAGATGATCATTGCATAATGATGGAAGGTTCAACCAAGAAGAGAGCAATTTTAAATGTATGCACCCAATAAAATAGACCAGTGCACCAATAGAACTATAGGCAGATATTAGTCCATTATCTTTGTCAGAAACGTTATCCACCTTTCTTAATTCTTCAGAGTTCAAGCAAACAAAATCAGCAAAGATCTGAACAAATTAAGCAAATTGATATATATAGATATCTACATACAACAATTAGAAAATACACACTTTTTTAAGCAAAATGTTCACAAAAACTGGCTATGTTCCAGGCCAAAAAGAAAATGTCAATAAATTTCAAAGGATAGTTATCACATAGATCGTAAGTATCACATAGGTATCAACACTATTTTTTTTTATAAAGTGAGGTTTTTTTTAAGTTTATTTATTTTGAGAGAGAGAGAAACCCAAGCAAGCTCCACACTCTCAGAGCAGCACCCAACTCTGGGCTCAATCCCACAAACCGCGAGATCATGACCTGAGCCGAAATCAAGAGTTGGATGCTTAACCAACTGAGCCACCCAGGTGCCCCTCAATAATATTTTTTAAAAGCACAACTGAGTAGAAAATGGACAAAATACAAAAACATCAATATTAAAAAAAAAAAAAGGGAAACCTATATGACCACTAAATATAAAGAGGTGTTAAACATCATCAATGGTCAAAGAAATACAAATGAAACCACAATGGGAAATCATTTTATACCCATTTTATTGCAAAATCGTTTTTGAGTCTGACAATACTCAATGGAGAGGATGTTAATTCGTGGGATCTCTTATATGTTGCTGATGGAAGTATAAAGTGGTGAAATGACTTTGGAAAATGATGTTGAAAACAATTTTGACATTATCTCCTAAAGCTGAACATTAATTTATCCTATGATCTAAAACTTCCACTCCTACATATATAGCCAAGAAAAACTCTTAAACATGTACAACAGGAGAAACATAAAAAATATTCACAGCACTATTATTCACAACAGTAAAATCCTGGAAACTATCTAAATACTTAGACTGTGGTTCATTCATCCAATAAAATATTAGACAGCAGTCAAAATAAAATGAAATATGCCTTCATGTAATAATATGCATGAATCTTAGCAAAATCATATTAAGTGAAAGAGTCTCAAAAGTATACAGGACATAGGATTTTATAAAGTTTAAAACAAAGAAATGTACTTTTTAAGAATACATACAGATGCAACATAACTTTATTAAAAGCAAATCATCAGTCATAAGAATGATGACTATTTCAGTTAGAGAAGGCAGAGATGTGGGATTGCACAGGTAGAGAGAGTCAAGGACCATACGCAGAAGTGCATGTTGTCAAGTAATGGATGGCCCATTTGTAGGTCCTTACTACATTCTTAAAAATGACTAAGCAAAATGGGCCATGATGAGTGTGTCATAAACCAAAAATTATGATTGAAAATTAATTCTGATGAATTTGCACTTCAGTTCCAAGCAGATTACACTGTTTTCTTTTTTTGTTTTGTTTTTAAATAGGCTCCATGCCCAATGTGGGGCTCCAAGTAAGTTTAAAAAAAGAAACTGCAGAATTCTGAAGCCAGAAGTCAGATTAGTTTCAGGAACCCTACAGACAAAATTTGGAAAAATCTTCTATAATACTAAATAGATAATAAGTAAGATAATCTCCTTAGGAATATTCTAGTATGTTTCCATTCATCTATGTTTCATAGGAGTGTCTTATAAAGATTCATTCATATTCTTTATATAACACTATATTTGGTTTGTTCAAATAACACTTGTCTCACGAATCCAATTCATTTTAATAAGGGCTGGTGATAACATTAAATACAGATTTCCACTTAATGTGAGATGGCTGAGGTATTCTGATCCTCTAGTTCTCAAAGGAATAGTTCTAGTGTTTCATCTATACCCTATAATGCTATACCCAATAAAATATGAAACAAAACAGTAAGCCCATCTAGAGTAAGTGTGCTATTATTTGACACCAAAGAAGAAAATCAAGTTAAATTAGTTAAAATTCTAGAAAATCTGGTGAAAAACTATGCTTTATACTGTCCCAAAGATTATTTTAACAAATGAAAATCCTTTATTTCCCAACCATTCTCAGGATATGAAGGCTTAAGAAGCCCGACTTACATACCTTTTCTTACCCAATCTCCAGTATGAATATTTATAGTCACGCCTACTAAATTACTACTTCGCTGTCTTTTTTCCCAGAGAAAATCAAGAGCTTTTCTTGCGTATTCCTATAATTAAAAAAAAGAAAAGCATACCTGAAGAACTATATGTCTCTGGAAAACAGGAGACAAAGAAACAAAAATCAAAGGCTCACAGCATATTTTAAGAATTAAGTAAAATTCCTAAGATAAGAAGATTTATTATATGAAACTTCCTTACAAGTAAAATCTTGGCTTTTTTTCTTTCAGCCAATCAAGTCTAGTTAAAAAGAACAGGTCTAAAAATGCTATTTAGTGGCAGTGATCTCACTTTGAGACCATCATGTTCATCTACTCTGATAGTGCAAGTTCACATTCACACATGTATTATTAAATTATATTAATTGCTGCCATAATTAAATGTACTTGCTAAAATAATGCCTATCATTTAAATACAAAGTGAAGATCTCCTTAGATAGTCTTATTTAGAGAATTAGAAGAGAATTTCAAAGTTCGTATGTCATCTTTGAAACACAAACAGGCATTTCAAGAGCCCACTTCTTAAATAGCATAAAACTTTGTTACTGAAGACTAAATATATTAACTAGTATTCATTTGGCAATACCAAATTTATAACCTTATGATACCATTTTTTTCCATTTATTTTTACCCATTGGACACTAAATTAAAATAATTTCTGATCAAATTCTTGGCTTTGGATGAAAAAAATGTTATAAAAGATAAAAGCAAAGGACATTACAGGAGAGTTAAAATTAATTTCAGAGCATGACTCTATTTAGCTTTGGAGAAGTACTTCTACAAAAGAAAAAAAATCGTTAAACCAATTTGCCACTTTGTAGATCTAAGAGGAGTGTAAAATAGTCTTAACTCTTGATTCAACTTATTTATGCTGATTTTTTAGAACAAAGCAGATTATGGCTTTAATTAAACACTAGAACTTCAGGGCCAGAAGTTTCATAAAGATTATATTTCCTTATTCCTATCTTACAGCTAAGAAAACAGGCCCAATGAAATCAAAGATTTATCCAAAGTTTAAACCTGAATTACAGGACAACTAATATGAGAATTCTTATCTCTTTATTAGATCAACACCAACAAACTTTTTCTGATAAGGGCCAAATACTAAATATTTTAGGCATTACGGGTTATACAGTCACTGTCACAATTACTCACCTCTATTACTGTAGCACAAATGGAGTCATAGACAAAAATAAATAAATAAGCATGGCTGTGTTTCAATAAAACTTTATTCACAAAAACAGGCAGTGGCTGGATTTGGCCGACTATTGTTTGCCAACCCTATATTAGATCAATGCTCTGTCAAGTGCATCAGGTTGCTTCTCTTACAATAAATTAACGTATAATCCTAAGTTAAAAAGATCATAATTTTCAAGAGACTTACTCATAAATACAAAATCGACTAGTGGAAAGAGTATGGACTTTGTATGTAGAAAGACATGGATTCTAATTCCAATTCCACTCATTCACCTATTTGCTGTGCATCTTATCCTCTTTAAGTCTCACTTGCCCATCCTATACATGCATCAATATCTCAGAGTTTGTAGTTTGAATTAAGACAGTATGCAAAAATGACTATACTTTTCAATGAAAGGAAAATATGTCAGCAAAATACAAAATAAACACTAAACCAAACATACACATACACACAAAGACCACTTGACTTATTTTAATTACACTCAGATCCAATGTCTTTAAGTATTCCCTATTTCGGCTTGTTCTGTGTGCCATCTGCTGAATTTTTAAAAATTTTCCTAAATCATATGTTTGAAAAAGAGGGTATTTTGTGATACTATTGCACTATAGTGACATGCTTAAACATACAGATAAAATTAAAGGTGTGAGACACAGCTAGTCCACAACATATTACTTAGGGAATATTAAGTCTTTTAGATAAGAAATACCATTAACCTTGGAGTAAAAAACTTACAGCTATGACTCTGTCAAGACAAGAGTAAAAAGTTCACTGTGTTTCAGTGAAGCTTTCAGAAATGCAATAGACCATCCAGAAGTAGAATAAACAAAAAGACAGTTTTTCATATAAGACGTTTGTGATATCAAATTCATAGAATATAGCTAAAAGTCTTCTAAGAATAGAGCTAAAAATTTACAGAAATGCAAAGTTGTATTTAACATACAGCTACCTCACAATGACTTCTGGGGTTTTGACAAAAACCATGTGATGGAATCCAGACAAAAGTTCCCTAAACTAACAGTACTCCTCCAATTGATAATCCTCATACTTGACCAATGAAAAAAAGATATAAAGTTAGTTATGTCCAAAACCCAAGAAATCAAAGACTATGAAAAGCAAACCTCAAATATTGTTGCTCCTGTGAATCGACTTAAAGCAGCAAACTCAAGGATCAAGGTACCTGCACAAGCTGTACAGGTATCTGTCTCAGTTCCTGTCCGAGCTTCTGGTTTTCTGATACCAAACTTTAAATTAATCTAAATAAAATCAGAAGATTATCATTAGCAACTGTCAAGAGATAATGGCTTCTGGATAAGAGATTATTTTTCAATCAAGATTTTTCATCAAATCATGGAAATAATTAATAAAATACCTAAACACTGAAATTTAATCTGATGATCTTTGTGACTTTCCAATTTAACATCTAGTGAAGTATATACTACCATACATATATCCATGGGGTAAGTTTTCATTTATGTCCTTCCTCAGTGAGACCAAAATTAAGTACCCATTTAAGAATTACATAGAGAAAATACCTTCCAAAACAATTTTATTCTCTGGACAGTTTAAACCAGTTAGTACAAGAATAGGATATTAGACTAGCCCTAAGAGAAATTCAGTTTAATTGAGAATTTGTGAAAAACCAGTACTATATTAGCCCTCCACAGTGAAAAAACTGATTAGGTATGGGGTGTATTTAAAAGATTAAAATTTTGTTTAAAGGCTTTAAAAGTTCTGAAACACAGTGTATAGCCTTGCTGATGGGCTATCAAACAACACAAAACATTTTTTCCAAAGGAGGTTTTTTTTTTTTTATAATTCAAAGACAACCACATCATACTACGTGATAAAAGTGGGTGAACCAGAACCAAACTGACTAGACTGATCATGGTCTTCCACAGTCCAAATAAATAACAAAAGAGCAAGCATATGCCAAGATTTAGCGTAATAACAACAACAAAACAAATAAAAATCATGTTTCTAGGTCACTTACTATTCAGACTCGTAAGGAGAAGTTCAAATAAATTTGTATTTCGACTTAGCTGCAGAAATCAATTGCTGGGTATGCCTATTACCTTAACAGTATCCAATCAACACTCTAGGAATACCTATGCATGAAGACAGGGATAATACCCACTCACCACCAATAAACAAATAACAAGAGTGAAACATAGGTGAGACACAGAGCAGATTGCTATGTTGGCCATTTACCTCACTTTGCAGAATGCCACTTAAGGCAAAATTTACCTCATGTTTCATGTGCTATTAGCCTAGCAGCATCTCTCTATCTCCACTCAAATTCATAATTATCTCTATCATTTGTAATTCTGAAAGAATAAATGACTTTAGGTAGTTCTGAACCAAGAACCAGAATGGGAACCATCCCTTGTCCTTTCCATGTTACCTATATCTCTACCTACAGAATTAAAATTGAGAATAAACTTTAAAATTAATTTACATTAATTATGCTAAAGTATAATAATTTTTATAAATATTTGCAGTAAGAGTCAACAGTGAAAATTATTTTCTGGTTAGTTCTACTAATTATTACAATCAACTGACCAATAGTTATCTACTACGTGCTGGGTATTACGTTAAGACATAAAGTAACTGAAAAGATCCTTGTCCTCAGGGAGCTTAAAATCCAGACAGAGCAAATAAGACAGACATATAAATGGAGATGGTAACTAATCATGGAAAGTCACAAGTAAGTGCCAAACAAATGGAACTGACAACAAATGCTAAGATCTGAAAATCAGAAGAAATATCATTGATATATAATAAAATATCACATAATTGGGGGTAGCTAAGGGCTAACAATGGCGAAGTCCAGAGTAGTAGTCATGGCAAAGCAAACACAACAGGGGAAACATTTATATACCACTTTTAGTATCTTTTCTCTTAACAACAAAAAAGGAGATAATTTGAATCACTGAAGTTCTGTACATTAAAAATATTTAAGATGTTTGTATACTGAATTATAATCTTTATTTATTGTTCCAAGATGATCTCTACAAAATGCTATAAAAGGACTATTTCTTAATACAGCTATTTATAGTATCATATCATTTCAATCTCGTATGTTGAAGGTGAGTGTTACTAAACAACTTTCAAATGCAAAATCTCCAGGGGCACTACTATTTCTACAAGACAAGAAAGAAGCGTTGAGTGCCTTTTTTGCTAATGGAAATCCTACTGCTGACTTTTGCTCTAGAGGCTAGATAAGCTCCACTCCTGACTAGATCTCAAAAGATGGGTGTAGAGAGGGCACTGGTAGTAGCATCCATTTAGTCATGAAGAAGTCAGAAGCAAGGAGCTTACTGCCCCTTATCTGAAAGTCTTAAGACAAAAAGGGATAAATGTATAATAAAGGTTTTATACTTAGAAGGAATTTGGAAACTGGTTCCTCCTGATCCTGTGTTCCTGAGAGTCACAAAGTAGTTCTTAAAATGAAATTTTTTTATTAAAAAGTAGAATTTTAAATTACCTACATTAAATTCATCTATATTATATATTTGCTACACCCATTAAACCCCTAAAATACGTACTGAATCATAATGGAATTCTTACTAACCCTGTACTTCATGGATAGAATCATCTACCTGATCTTAGAAATGAGGTCTTAAATGAAAAACTGGCAAAGTACTTTTAATTACGTTGGAGGAAATGGCATCACATACCGTGGACTACCTCTAGGGTTTATACGCGGGTGGAATAAATGACCATTAACTATTATAGCATTTCTGTCCTGCAAATTTTGGAGTCAAAACCATTAATGCCATACTATCAATTATGCATGCATATCTAAGAGAGACTGTACAAATTTTCATGAGCAAAAGCAGTATTTAACAAGTGTGAATTAAGGAAGGATGGGAAGATACTTATTTTCTGTCTGCAGTCTACTTCTAAAAAGCAGTATCAAAAACTTTGATACTTCAGAGTATAAGAAAATAACACATTCTCTTTATTTTACTATAATACTCTTAGCTACTGTTTTATATTTTACTTTTTTTAAATGTTTATTTATTTTTGAGAGAGAGTGCAAGTGTGCGAGTTGGGGAGGGGCAGATAGAGAGAGGAAGACAGATCCAAAGCTGGCTCTGTGCTGAGAGCAGACAGCCCGACGCGGGGCTTAAACTCACGAACCAAACCGTGAGATCACGACTTGAGCCAAAGTCGGTTGCTTAACTGACTGAGCCCCCCAGGCCCCCCAGTAGCTACTATTTTAATTCCTTGACTGTTTCTCCTGTTACGGCAAAAGTGAAGACATGCTAGATTCCCCATAATTCAGCACCTCCACTTATAACAAAAACTAAAAATGTTTACTAAAAGTAAATCCAATTAAATAAACATCTAGCTTATTCAAAATAACTTTGTTTTTAATTTTAATATGCCAAGAAAATAAAAAAATCAACAAATAAGTTTAACCATACTAGAAAGCAAAGAAATTCACATTAAAACAAGACTCCATTTTTTCTCACTAAATTAGCAAAGGATAATTCATATTTTTGGCAACAGGACAATGACACATATACTTTTATAAAACACAGAGTAACTATAAAAGTAGAACCCTTCTGGAGAACAACTAGGCAGTAAGTACCCAAAGCCTTAAAAAGCATTCCCTACTTCTGTGACTATTTCCTCTTCTAGTAATTTATCCTATGGAAGAAATAAGTAAAATGATCTGTATAAAGACGTTCACAGAACAGCCATTCAAAATATCAAAAACTAGAAATTTAAATAAGAGATTGAATAACTAGTCTGTTTTACTTAAAAAAAAAAAGTGTTGGTCACAGTCCACTAAATTGGTGGGTAAAGGAATATATTGTAACCTCCAGTTTGAAAAGCACTGCTCTAGATCATGGTCAGAGGTTTCTTGATGGTGAAAGTTAGTCTTACTTGATTTGTATTGGGAGAAAAGTTACTCCAGGTAATAGAGATGGTAGGCCTAAAGGCATGGAAATGTAAAAACAAAAACACATACTTTAGGTGTTTGGGGGGACACTAATAGATTCTTTTGTTGAAATGGAACACTCATTACATTGGGTATGAGGTCCTGAGAGAACGTCAGAAAGAAAGCCTACTGCCAAACCATAATGAATTCTGTAAGTTAAAAGATACTCTGTACAATAGGGAGTCAGTAAAACTTCTGAGGGTAGTTTGATAATTGTTATGTTTTAGTAAGATTAATTTTTAAGCCTCTAAAGAATAAACCAGAGAGAAAAGAGTAAGATTGGAATTTATAACAGTATAGGAACAAAATTATACTGGCTTCAACTAGCATAGCAGCAATAAGGAAAGAAAAAACTAACAGAGCTTGGTAATGGCTGAGGGATCTAACTTGGACAAGAGGGAGAGAGCAATAGTGTTAATAAAGAAATAAATCAGGAGAGAGAGAGAGTTCTTTCCATATTCAATGGCTTCTTTCCCTTTGCTTTAAATATAAAATTTTCTGGGGTGCCTGGGTGGCTCAGTTGGTTGAGCGTCTGACTTCGGCTCAGGTCATGATCTCGCAGTTCGTGAGTTCAAGCCCCGTGTCGGGCTCTGTGCTGACAGCTCAGAGCCTAGAACCTGCTTCAGATTCTGTGTCCCCCTCCTTCTGCCCCTTCCCTGCTCATGCTCTGTTTCTGTCTCTCAAAACTGAATAAACGTTAAAAAAA